CCTAGTACCACGACCCCTTCTAAACCCAGCCTGGACTTCCGGCAATTCTTTGCTGATGTGCTGTTCTAATCGTTTTTGGATAATCTTCAGTAGAATCTTGCTTGCATGTGAAATCAATGACACTGTGGTCTGAGTCAGATGAGGACTGTTTAGGGCAGTGAAATTGTTATGTGTGAATATACAATGGTAGATATACGACATTATGTATTTGTCCAAACATAGAGGATTGTACAACACAGAGAGTGAATTGGAATGTAAAGGAAGGGAAGACTTTCATTAATAACAATGTAGCATCATCGTATCATTGATTTTAATGAATGTATCACACTATTGCAAAATGTTCATAATAGGCATTCATAGTGGAATGGGGAATGTACCAGAACTCGCTGTCCTTTCTGCATCATTTTTCTGTAAACCTAAAACTGCACTGAAAAACTAAATCTACTAAAAGTGCTTATGGTCCTCGATCTGTCTAGAAGCCCTCTGTATCAGCATGACCTTTGCGTAAGAAGATACAACCCTGGGTTACCAGCTGAGGCACAAGTCTGTCACTCATGTGGGTTGCTGTGGAGAAGGCTCAAAATCAACAACACAAGAATCTCACTTGCTCCTCTTTGCAGGCACCCTAATCCAGCTGTTCTTAACGTTCATTGGCCAAGGCAGCTTCTACCAAATTGGAGGAAGGAATATCCACACAAGTGATCGGAAATCAACAGAGAGTAAGGACTGTACGTACCATCCCGGATGGAGTCTCTGAAGAGTAAGGAGGGGGTGGCGTCTCCACAGGCACTTCCGAGTCTTCCTGTTCGCTCTCACTGTAACATTCTACAACAAACATCAAAATGATGCATGTCTTAGAGTTGCCATCATCTATTCCATCATGCATGACCAGAGGTTCTTTCTCCACCTGCTTACTGCAATTTCAACCCCTTTCAGAATGTTCCCATCTAAATAACCTGAATGGCATAATAGATTGCAAAAGAAGAGAAATGATAATTCAGACAGGTTGTCCTCAAATAAAGGTCAACACTTCAGCAGAGGGAAATCACATCAGTCCTCAAAAGATGTGTGAGGCATACGCCAAGAGGAGTATCCAATCAGTAGAGATTCATTTTGATCCTAGGAATCAAAACGAGCTGAAAGCAGCAGGATAAGAATGGTAATCCTTCAAACGTGCAGAAGGAAGGGACAGAGAAGCCAGAGCCAAAGGTACACAGACCACCACACAACCATGGCAGAAAACGAAGCAGAGAGGTCATTTAAGGTCATGTCACAGAAGGTCTAAATTATTAAACTATAAAGGAGATTCTTACAAAGGAGATCCATCACTGTCTATAATTGTCTTTTCAAAATAAAACAGATATTATCAATCTGATGGAAAAGAGGATCGGAATCTGTATCTGACTCTGGTTTTGCCATGCCATGTCAAACTTGTTTATTGTTTCACATGAAATTGCTACTTTTCCATTTCTGAGTTTAAAATATGATGATCCTGCTATGAAAAGGTATAAATGCCTGCTTCCCATTCCTGATTTTCACTTGATGGGAGCATGTTTGAGGCAGCATCAGCTCTGTGGGCCAGACACCTAAATTCTCTCTCTTTAAGGTCAAAGTAAATTGCATCATGGCTAAGAACTAGAACCAGATTCCTGTAGGTTTGGAATACCGAGAGCTACACATTCTGGCTTGTGTCTCACCAGGATCCCACCCTTACACTTGGGTGACTGGGCTCTGTGCACACCTGGCGGAAATAGTCAATATTAGCAGAGAGGAAAGAGTGGGATGAACTTGATCATGACTAGATCAGGGAAACCTGAGTGGTGAGTAAGAAGTCAGCGACAGGGACATGAAGCATTTGCATTGGCAACTGGCAGGGATGTCTTAGATGTCAGCAAAGCCTACGACTGTTGACGTGTGGGCGAAGTGTGAACAGTACTCGTAGCCAGCCTGGGAAGCTGGATTCCATGTCGGGGAGCCCACGAACACTTCTGTCTCGACATATTTTCAGATAATTTTAAATGTCAAAGTCTGTTTCGTCAGGATCAGCCTATATGCAGAGTTTGACACTGTTTTTCCATCCTATTTCAGACATGCCAATAAAGCAAGCTGGATTGTAAGAAATGTCACAAAGAACGTACCTTCATTCTGGACGGTGGCTGCCTGATGGATTGATGCTAACCCGAGTTTATTTAACCACCTGAAATCCAAAAGGAGAGTTAGTGTTTGACCAAAGGGACCAGACCCCTTTCCCTGACCCCTTTCCCCCTACATTTTGGAGGAGGGTTTTAGCCAGAGTGCAACAAAATTGATGCCTCTACTGTTGGCCTAGTGGACAGAAAGTTATGCCTGGTTTTGGTTTTGGTCAAACATTCTTCTAAGCGGTATAGCACTGGTCTGTCCATTTGCTGTACAGAGGTAACTCGTGGTTGCTGTGATGCTGATGTTTCAAATGTGGGTTGGTGGAGCTCTCCGATTAAAAAAAGCTTAGAAGCAGGAGTGGCATCCACTTCTGGAATAGCTTGCCTCTGGAAACTCTATGAATGTGAAGAAATGATTGAAGTTATACAAGTACTCAGGTCTTTCATTCATAGGGTCACTATGAGTCATCTACGACTCGATAGCATTTAACAACAACAACTGTCAACTTGAGTGTCTCCAGAAACAGTAAGAACTTTGAGGTGATACAAATGTTTAAGAACTGACCTCCTGGTGTAAAACATGACAGCTGGCAGTGACCTAGAAGTACCTCAGAAGAAACGCCTGGGGATCCACTGATGAAAAGCTACACCCTCAAAAATCTATGGAATGCAGTTCTGCTCTGCGACACCAGGGGTCGCCAGGAGTCACAATCAACCCAACAGCAACTGTGTTGATGTGTGCAGGGTGGTGGGCTCTGAGGGCCCTGGGTTCATTACCTTTCCTTATTCAGAGAATCCTAGAAGAGGTCCACTCTCCACTTTGTTAACATTGTTGTTGGGTGCCTTCATGTACGACCCAGAGTGACCCTGTGAACAGCAGATCTAAACCCTGGCCTGTCCTGTGCCATCCTGACATTCTGACACACTCAAGCCCATTGCTACAGTCACTGTGTCAACCTGCCTGGTTGAGGGTCTTCCTCTCCTTCACCATCCACAATGTCTGTGTCCAAGGAATAACCTCTCCTAGTGACTCAATGGAACATAATAACAACAACAAACAAGAAAAGTACCCACAATGTGTGGTTCATGTAAGTAACTGGATTAAAGCAAACCCACTATCCACAAGCCAGTCCTGACTCCTATTACATATTTACTTGGTATGATTTTACTTAGGGAGCCCTGGTGACATAGTGGTAAGAAGCTGCACTTCAATCCCAAAGACACACGGTTCGAAGCCACCAGCTGCCCTGTGGGAGAGGGATGGACAACCTCCGCCCGTGTGATTAACTGCCTCTGAAAACCCACTGGAGGGTCAGCTATGAGTTGGTTCTGCCTGGAAGGCACCCATCAACAGTATGATGTTACTTACGAACACATTTTAAAATATGAATTTTATAAAGACAAGTTCATTATCATGTCTCTAGCTGTATAATTTTACACATGAAGAGGAAAAGTTTACCAAAGGTCAGTCATGATAAAAGTCAGTGATGACATAAATAATTGTCTCTCACTGTTTTGACACTTTTCTGTATTTTAAATATTCCATATTGAGTGTGTGTTACCACATTATGTGTGTAACCAGAAATTTTAAAAAATTTACTTTAAATAAATAGGCAACTGACTCGGTAGGAGTTTCTACAAGAAAGATGAGTTCTAGCTTCTGAGGAAAGGCCTCTGGGCTGAAGAAACATGCCGTTCTCATTGTCACTTACAGGGCTCTGGTGGCATGCTGGATTATGGGGTCAATAGGTCGAATCCACCAACTGCTCCCAAACAGAAAGCTGGGCGGTCTCCCCCCACAAAGATTCCCAGCCGGGGAACCCTGCAGGAGGTCACCAGGCCTCAGCATCAACTTGGAAGCAGTGAGCTAATGGATAGCAGTGAGTGAAGGCGTTCTGGGAACACTTAGAGCTCCTTACATTGTTAACCAAGAGGTCTCACTTGGGACTCTGGCAATTCGAACCCAGTTGCAGCTGGCTGAGAGGGAAATGCATGGTGTCCTTCCGTTAAAACTACAGCCTCGGAAACCCCATGGCAGGCAGGGCTTAGGGTTAAAACCAAATGAACTGTCGTGAGTTGTTTTTGTTTAAAGGCCACTTAAACTAAACCAGGAGAGCTCCAGCCTGTAGGGAGTGGTGATGCTCACCCAACAAAGGCCACATCCCTCTGGCAGTTCGAATCTTCCCTCCGGCAGTTTGAATCCTCCCACCTTCAGCCTCTGAAATCCTGAGGAGGTTCAGCTAGGAACCAGCTGTGACACCAGTGATGACTTTTTAGACTAAAACAAAACTAGTATCACAGCCCAGACCGCAACATTTAAAAAAAGAAGCTGGTGTCTAGTCAATTGTAAGTTATGGCACCCACATTCATTTCAAAGCAGAAAGTGCTCTGTGGGGTTTTTTTGCTTGTTCTGGTTTTTTTTTTGGGGGGGGGGATGAGGGGAAGTATGGCTGATTATCTGGAGGTGGGTTGCTAGGCCTCTCTGCCAAGGCACCTCTAGGAGGACTTGAACCTCCAACCTTTCAATTGGCAGTGTAGAGTGGAACAATTTCATTCCCCAGGGCTTCAGATCATGCCATCTACCCCTAGTGCTCTGACCAGCTCTGGCTACCTGGCGGATAAGGACAAAGTCAGGCAGTTCAAATCTACCAGTTGTTCCATTGAAGGAAGATGGGCAACCACATCCCTTGTGATTTACAGCCTCTGAAAACCCCCTGGAGGGTCAGCTCTGAGCTGGTTGTGACCCAAGGACACATAACAGCTCCCATAACATAACACTAAGGAGTCAATTCCCTGAGAACCACGCCCTGTGTGTCGGAGCAGTGTCTGTCACACCATAAGCCACTGGAAACCCACTGCCTTGGGTTCGCTATGACTCACTGAGACCCTCCACCAGATTTAGGATTTGTAATCTTGTGGATTTTTACAGAAGATTGCCCAGCTTTCTCCCTCAGAGCAGCTGGTGGATTTGACCACAAGCTGTTAGTGGCCTGCTGCCTTATCCATCAGGGTTCATGCTGTTGTTGTTGTTGTTGTTTACTGTCCAGTCGGACTGCAGCAAAGGTAATCAGGAAATCACAGGGGAAATGCTCTGGAAGCCCCGTGGTAAGAAGCTGCGCTGCAATCCCAAACTCACATGGTTCAAATTCACCAGTTGCTCTGTAGGGGGAATGGGGAATCTCCTCTCATGTGCCTCTGCAAGCCCAATGGAGGGCCAGCTGAGTTAGTTCCAACTCCAGACACACAACAAGAGATATAAATATAGATTGGAGATAGAGATAGAGATAGAGATAGAGAGAGAGAGAGAGAGAGAGAGAGAGAGAGAGAGAGAGAACCTTTGGTATTTTGGGAAATGTATATCCAAACACAAGAAAATTATTTCCTACTCATTTATTACATATTGATACAAATGAAAACCAATGCTGATTTCTAGAATTGAGAAATGAAAAATGTACATTCTTATGTTCAGTTGAACATAAAAACTGACAGAGCCATTTAGGAGGAGAATTTAAATGTTTCTCCCCTTCCAACTCAAATGATAAATATCTATGTGCTACAAAGCGCCATTGTTAGGAAGGCCATGCTCAATCACCGGGAGCCTTGGGCCACAAGGATGCAAACCAGGACCTGACAGTGAGCTGACTCCAGGTCATGAGACCCCATGTGTGTCAGAACCACAGTCTATGGGGTTTCCATGGGCACTGATTCTTCCAGACTTAAAGTGCAGGTGTTTCTTCTGAGGCAGCAGGGGGGACTCAACCTTCAGGTTAACATTTGAGCACATAGGTTCTTAGGGGTCTACTAACAATACAGTTTTTGAACTGAAGTGGTACTGACTGGTGGTGAACCCAGGCATGTCAGATTGAGCTGAACACCACAGGATCTTTTCTTATTGCTTTCTTCAGGGACACACACTGCCGGCTCTTTCTTCTCTGACACTGCTGAGCAGCTTCCAACAACCAAATTTTCACTGAGAACCTAAAAGTGTTAACCATTTGCACCACCCAGGAACCCTTCATGTTGCACAAATACTAAAAGACCAATTTTGAGTTCCTACCACATTTTTGCTTCCTTTTCCTTTGAGTATACATTTTTCTGGAGGTGTGGCCTTTTGAATGTGGGAATAATAAGTTTTAAAGAGTCAACACTGGCTTTAAAGCTATTTCTTTACTTATTGGCTCAGAGACCCTAACTTTCTTACCTCAGTTTTTTAATCTGCAAGGTGGAATTAAGAATTCATTGCCACAACTCATTTAGAAGACTTGTGGGTTTGGTGTTATATTTATTAATAAATACTAAATTCTGTTTTCTGAATGTTCTTTTAAAAAAAACACAAAAATCAACAACCTCTTAAAATGAAAGACTTCATTTTTGTTTTCAGGCACTCACTCTGAAAGCAAAGAGCCAGGTCATTTCTGAATACCTATATTTTTACTTAAGCATCTTGTTTAGAGTCAACAAGACCTCATGGATGCCTTTGTATTTAAAAGTCTGCTGTTATTATATTTTGGAGGAAGATTCTTCTAAGTGGTACAGCACTCTTCTGTCAATATGCTGTACTGAGGTAACCTGGGGTTGCTGTGATGCTGAACTTTGCGTCACTGGGGTGTCAAATGCCATAACGGTTACCCACGGTGAGCAGTGTTTGGTGGACCTCCCAGATTGATTCAGGTTTGGAAGCAGAAGTGGCATCCACTTCCTAAACAACATGCCTCTGGAAACTCTACAAACTTTGAGAAACCACGATAGTTATAGAAAGGCTTCAAGCCTTTTATTCATAGGGTCACTATGAATCGTGCTCAACTTGATGGCAATCAACATCTCTCTTATAACTATTTATCCTGACATTCTTCCTCTCAAAAAAGCATCTAAAAGTTAAATAGGCAAACTCTTAGAAGAGCGCTAAAAACAAAAAAGGTGTTGAATTGAGAGTGCCTGAAACAGGAAGAGTAAGTCTCAGTTCATTTCCACTACCAGGGAAGACAGCAAAGCAAGAAGGAAGCAAGAGTATAGAAGAGATTCCTCCAGAACTTCCCCAGTCAGGCCCTGGTCATTGTCCCCATTGAGACACTTACTATGGAAAATGGTCATCATTTAGCATCTCATTTGATGGGGGGTGTTCCCCTAAGACCCACTGGCATGCAGCCCCAGCTTTACAAGTTTTATTTCACTTTGGTTTTTTGGGTTTTTTTTTTAACATCAAGACAGGCAAAAAAGTCTATTTGTGGATAAATTGATGGATGCAGGAAAGAGCTCACGTTTACATAGACGACAATGGCAGATGTTTCCGGGGACCTGGTTGTGTCTGACATGGTGAGAATGTGTGTATTACGTTAGCAAAAGTGTTAAGAAATAGGTATATGAAGCAAAAGCTTCTTCTTCCCACAAACACTGTCAGAGAAAGGCAGCTACTGGGCCTTTGTTTAGAAACCAACTCTCTCATTATCCTTAATTACTTACCCTTGCACTTTTAAATCGAGCGTCACCACAGAACACAAGACTTTCTATTAAACTTAATTACTTTTCTCTCCATAGTCCCTGAGAGAAATGTCACCACCCAGCAGTGCAGTTACCCCAGAAGGCACGCTTCTAAAACAGAACCCATCCCATCAAAGGGCCACCTCCACCTCCCCAACACCAGAACTTCTCCATAAGCAACAGCCAGACCCATTCTTCAGTGACTGAGACAGACCAGGCCAGAAAGATGGGGAAGTTTTTCCAGACATTACATTAGAATATGGAAGAGAACAAACCCTTTGTCATGGAGTCAGTCCTGACCACAGCAACCCTGTGGGATGAGTAGAACTGGGCTCCCCTAGGTTGGCTCTTTACAGAAGTAGCCTGATGCTTCTTTCTCCTGTGGTGGAGTTCATGGGTTCTAATCCCAAACCTTTAAGTTAGTAGCCAAGAACTTAACCGCTGTGACATCAGGCCCCCTGTGTTGCAAAATAAACCTCTAAGTATCGCTTGCATAATCTAGTAGGAGAAGGGAGAAGATACTGTGGAGGCTTAGAAAGCCTGCATCACTGGCAATTACAAAGCTCATCCTCAGAATAATGTGGTTGTTGTTGTTGTGTGTCTATGATTTCAACTCCTAGTCACCTGGCAGGACTGAGGAGAACTGCCCACAGTGTGTCCAAGAGGGTAAATCTCTACGTAAGCAGAGTGCCACATCTTTCTCCCTAAAAGCATCCTGGTTGCATTTTAACCACCAACTTCTCTGTTAGCAGCCAAGCACTTAGCTGCTGTGTCATAAGGACTCTTTTCATAATAATGAAGTCCAATAAGTATAAAGAAAATAAGCACATGCTACATGTAGGAGCAGAAAAAAAAATTGAAACCCTTGCTGATCAGTGTGGAAAGCCGAGTATCAAATTTAATATTAATAATAAGCCAAATGCTTTATCAGGATATAAGGGAGGCTTAATACAAGCTAGAATTCACCCTGAGGCACTAAGGCATTCCTTAAGACTCAACATCCCTTCTTTTTTTTTCTTTTAATTTCTTTATTTTTCATTTCAATGAACATCTACAGAGATTTTGGAATTCCATTCATTCATTGTTGC